GAGGTGGAAGTAAAAACTGCTACAGCCGTTCTGGGGAGCAATGGCGGCGATCAGTGAGTGGAACTGCGTAAGCACATACCCTGTGACTTGCCAGCATTACTTGCTTGTGCGGGCTTCCGAGAAACTCGTGCAAAGGGTCAGGAGGAGCCATGGCGTGGCAGGGAACAGGAGTCTGGGTGCTGTCGACCACCAAAGGACCGCACAAACAGCAAGGGCGAATTCACATGACAGCCCCACCGGTGGTCAGAGACAACGGACTCCATGTCGCGGATGATGTGGTACCCGCGTCATCCTTTTTCAGCCCTCTGTTACCTCCATTACAGCATCCCCGAATGTGGAAACAAAGGTGTGGAGGGGAAGTACTGTGTGCTCAAGGTCCCGTAGCTAAAAAATGGCAGAACCAGAATTTAAAGGCAGGAATTCTGGCTTTGAGAGGTCACGCTTTCCATCCCTACCCCAAGCATAGGTCTCTGGCATAGACTGTTGAGTGGGGAAGGACAAAGTGGTTGACTTAGCGATCTTAACCCTGCCTTGCATCCTGACTCCATCAGAAAGGGCCAAGCCTCCTCCTTGACCCTAACAAAGAAAAGTTTGGAATAACCACATTCACCTGTAAGCCTTCGGAATAGCCCATTGACACAGTATTTTCTAGGCTCATTTTTAAAGACATGTTTACACTGATTCACAAACAGTGACTGCTGGTGACAAACTCCAAAAAGGGTCTTAGCTGATGCCTGCGTTCCCCCTAGGAGATATGCAATGGCTTGGTACAGTCAACAGGGGGCGCTGCACAGCTCCACCTCCGCAGCTCAGGCATCACAGTTAAGTGATGGGAATCACATCCATTAACGCTCCTGGATTTCCAAGCCACACAACAGGGGAGCCAGAAGGTGGAAGAATGGTGGAAAAAGCCTGCGGGAGTCAGAGACAGGACCAGCTTTTCGGGTGTGCAGCTTGTGCAGTGACACAGAGCCCCGCGCGTAGAACACCCACACTCAGGTTAATTCTCTGCTGCTCTGTCCTGACATGCTCAATATTTTTTACCAGAAGCCCAACGGTCTCATTTTGCACAGGGCCCCACAAGTTATATAGCCAGTTCTGGTCGGAAGGTTTGGAGCATGGAGCTTCCAGACACATTTACCCTTCCCTAAGGAAAGATTTGATGTAGGACTTTCTTCATCAACTGTTTTTACTATCCAGGTCCAGCCATAAAGTCTCTCAATCAAACCCCCTCTAAAATTAGCTGGAAGATATTTTGCCAGTGTTCAACTAGGCTTGGAGCTATAGCCAACCGAATACTTTTTTTCATGTCCAAATTCCACTCTCCTTCTGGGGAAGGATGGGAGGGAGTCCAACCAACACAGCTCCACAGAGGCACAGAACCGGTGCACGGGGTGGTTTTTACCGAATTACTGCAGGTGATCCTGAGAGCCAGGCAGCCGCAAAACTGGGGCCTGACGGTGCCGGTGAAGCCAGAGCAATGTGGCTCAGACGCAGATACTGAACTACAGGAATCAGGTCGATGAATTAAAGCCGTTATGTCGGGAGAGCAAGCAGAAAGTGAAAGGGGCCACCCTGGTGTCGGTCCATTGCCCACAGCTCATTTTTTAGGTACCTTCCAGGTCTCCCTTTCATCTTACCTGCTCAGGGGTGAGATGACCACCATATTTAAAGCACCTCCAGTTCATTGTTTAAATCAGTATCATAGATTTGTGTTTCTTTCTTTGCACTTATTAAAATTTTTACTTATCTGTTATTTACATATTTATGAACTATTTCCCTCTCTAAATTGTATGTCCTCTGGGGTCAGGAACAATGTCTGTTTGTTTACGCCTAGTATCCTCACAGATCCCAGAGTGGTTGGTGCCCAGCAAGTGCTGTGTGTTTTGAAAAAGTGGACAGGTAAGTGCCGATGGTCTTAAAAAGGCAACCCTATGAGACTCACTCCAAAGCAGGAGAGTATCTTATTTGTCTTGCTCAGTAGCAAGTACCTTGCAAATACTTAACAAATACTTCAGAATACATTAGTGAATGAAGTTATGTGTAACTTAGAAAACTGGCGGGGGAGGGGGGGGCTCTGCCTGCAGGCCCCCCCCCACCCCGGCTGCCATGGATGAGAATAAGTCTACCAAGACATGATCTGCTTGGGGAGGAAAGGTGGCTGATCTCTCAGAGGAGAAAGGCCAAGGGTCTGTTCCTCATTGGGCTTTTATTGGGTTTATTTGCACAGGAATGCAGGTAAAGCTCATTAATCATTGTCAGGCAGTAAGGATCAAACAATAGATAACATACAAAGAACTCTGAGGGCCTATTCTGAGTCAGGGTCTGTTAGCTAAAGGGCTACAAAACTTTGGGAAACAAACTCATTTCCTGCTCAGACCCTTATCATTTAATTGAGAGCATTCTTAGCAAAGCAGGTTTCACAGGATTTTTTATACATTCTTTCTTAAGCCTGATTACCTGGGGAACCCGCCCTTTCCAGCACAGGGCTACACCGCCCTCTGTCATTGTTTCAGGCTTAAGTCAGGGAGGGGAAGTAAGGCAGCCAAGAGATTAGGAGACTTCTTGCAGCCAGGATGAGGACTCAGGCCCTGTCAGGCTATGTCAAAGCCAAGAGTCGAGGGTCCATCACCCTCTTTTGCTATAGCACCCCAAGTCCTTTTCTGGGGCCTCCCCATGATTATGTGGATCTTAGGTCGCTCCCCCATTGGGGAACCTTACCGATCGGTTAGTCATTGGCTAACTGATCAAGCATTGGGGGCCAGGCAGGGTGAAGTAAAAAGAGCAGAAGCAGCACCCCTGCCAGGGAAATAAGCTTCGTCTCCTTAGTGGCTTCTGGTCCGAAGGTTGCTCACTCAGCCTTAGCCATGGTGGGGTTACAGCTTCTGAAACCAGGCAGGGCGGCTCCCAACAGAAAACATCAATGTGTAGTTCACCTTAAAATGCTTACATACATAAATCAAACAATACTGATTTTTTCCATTGTGTAGATGCATATACTTCACTTTCCAAATCAAGGTACATTTTAATGGATGCTAAGATTGCTTGCTTATATTCCCTTGGTTAGTACGGCATAATAACATAACTTACTTCTCTCTCGTGTTTTCCCAGGAGGTTTCTGAGCAAATATTCAGTGAATCCTTTGTTTCTCAATCACATGGCATTTGATGAACAAAACAGTGACTACAGCTGTGAAAAGCATTCCCCTTTCAAAGATGAAATTGTGGGAGGCTCGTACAGTTTCTCATTGACAGACACATTTTAAACTCACCAGGTTCTTTGAAAAAACAATGCTAACATCTATAAACTGGAAAAGAAGCTTATGATTCATTTCAAACTAGAAAACTCAAGCTGAACTTTCCTGATTTATGTCTGGTGTGTTGGTTTATTTCTATGTATTCTGACTGTGCTAAGCACTATGTATATACATAGATGGAAAAGTATGTGTCTATGTGTGTGCATTAGAGTTTTCTCTTCCCCCAAGAGGCTCATAATACAGCAGAAGAAGATATCAATCAAACATCCCTAACAAATACCACAGGAGGCCAGCGTGGTCCAAAGTGTGACAGAAGAACAGGGCAAGGAAAGGTAGATCACAGCTGATTGATATAGTCAGGCGATGCCTCATGGAGAAGGTAGCATTCTAGGTGGGTCTTAAAACGGGTTCGTTTTAGTAACTATTACAATCTGAGTGACCTGGAAGATTTTATATATGCTAATTGGACAGAACCGGCAATTCAAAAGGCCTTTAAAAAAAAAAATCCCTATGTGTTGTTACTAATGTGGAGGAAGCTGGATGTTTCCAGCTTACTTGGCAAGCTGGATGTTTCAAGTTTCCACTCTTAAAAGATCAGACAGATAGATAGAGCATGCTCTTAAAGGATCTTTAAAAATTAAAATACCTCTGGCATGAATTTTTGTGTAATGAACGAGGTCCAGAACATGGCAAAATGGCACTTTCAAAACATTTTGATGAGCAATGTGTTCTCTTAAGGCCAGTTTAAAGCCTTAAAATTTTAGCTCTGTTAATTTAAAAAGAAAGAGTAATCAACCTTTCCAGTTTTACTAACTGGTATGTGGCAAAAAGAGGGCTCCACCCCAGATTTCCCGCTTTGATCCAGTTTTCTTGCCACCACGCTATGCCAACCCTCCCATCAAATGGATGGGTTATCTTAGCACAGTTTACATGTTTCTAATCGCCAAACTTTGGATTTCATAACAAAAATTAATAAAAGTAAATCTCCCACTCAGAAAGAGTAGATAGGGCAAAGTTGGCCATGGATACACTTTCAAACTGTTTTTGAGCAGTTTTTAAATTATAGTAATTCATATTTTTGAACAATTTACACCAGAAACTGCATTTAACACTTTTAAAATGTGTCATTTCACGTAGTCATCTTAACAATTCTATCAGGTAGGCATCATTATTAATGTTTGTTTTACAGGTACAGAAGCTGAGGCAGGTATGATTGAGAACTCGCCCACAGTCGCCCGGGTGGCAAAGTTGGGGCTCGAATCCCTCCTGAGCTCATACCCTTAACCACTGGGCCACCAACATCAAACTCTCCAGAGGGAAGACCATTGCCACGGACTGACTGCGGGCTGTCCCACGGCATTGGGCTCACGCTTTCATCTCCAACACGTGACTACCACAGTCCCTGGTAGTGTAGAAACCTATCAGTTCCTGGAATAAGGAAGGATTATTCTTTATTCAATGGTGCTGACTCACTAATCAAAACTCAAATCAGTGTGATGTATTCTTGGGGTAGGGAAATAACTATTGATCGGGCAGACGCTGGTGTTTGAGTCATGTTCTAGAAACCATGACAATACCTAAGAAGCAGTAGGGGCGGGGTGGGGAGCGAAGACCAGGGAGGTAAGGCCGGTGGCGGGGTGCTGGGCCAGGGGCGCACGTGGGGCCGGGCGGAGGGCGGGCCCTTGGTCGCGGGAACCTGCTTCCCGGGGCGGGGAGGCCCATCGGGGGCGGACCGGCCCGCGGAGGAGACCCGGGAGCCCGAGACGCGGCGGACCCCGGACTCGTGTTGGGCGGGTTCGCAGTTCCCGCTTTCCCCGCGTGTGAAAACACTCTCCTCTCCACACCCCCAGGCCGCGCCACCTCGGCCACGCCTGCGGCGCTCCGTCCGCGTAGGGGCCGCTAAGGACGCGGGGTGCAGGTGGGGGGAGCGGGGAGCCCAACATCGGGGCTGAGCGCGCACCCGCGGGCGGGCGCGGGGTTGGGGGAGGCGGGGGGCACCCGGGCTGCAGCCGAGCCTGTCCGGGTGGAAGCGGGTGGAGCCGGAGAAGCCCGCCGGGCGGGCGCCGCCTGCGGGGCGCTTGCAGCTGGGCCCCGAGGGTCCCCAGTCCGCTTCTGCTGCTCGGCAGAGACGCGGCCAGGCCCCCGGCGGGAGCCCACGTCACGGCGGCAGGGGCGCTCGGAGCTGGGAGGTGGCGGGGGCGCCAGCTCCCTGGGGGAGGAGCCGGCGCGGGGCCGCGGGCGAAGGAGGGCGGGCACCCCCTGCCGGTGAGGCTGGGGGGCGGTTTGGGAAGGGAAGCTCGGCGGGGCCTCGCGAGGGGAAAGCAGCCCGAGGAGAACTAAGCTCAGCTTGAAATGAATTTTGTTCGGGAGCCACGTTCTGAGGCAAAACCCTGGTAAACCTTTTTTTATTGAAAATGCTAGGAGCCAAAAAGAAAAAAAGAAATGTTAAGGAGGCTTTTGCATGAACTATTTAAGACTATCATATATAGTTCTATTAAATAACAACAGTATATCAAATAGAGATGATTTTTAAATTGTTACCCCAAGAAGAATTTTACTGTATTTTTCTTGGGATGCTATTTCAATTCTTCTCCTGCCTTAAGGGTCAAGTTTTAACTATTTAAGGGATTCTATATAGTTTTACTTGTACATTTGATACGCAAGAAAGTAATTCAATACACTTAAAATATTCAGCTGAAATTCTCTCAGATTTAAAAACCGCTAATAGCTGTTCAAGGAATATAATATTAAAAAGAGGAAGGAAATGGGATTTTTTTAATGAAGTAACAAATTGGGGAGCAATGTCTGTGTTTTGGTGTACCTTATTTAAAATAATAAGGGGATTAAAATTACTTTCAGTAATTGCTTTGGGGGTTTCACTTACCTTTCACTTTGGACTCTTGCCACTTGGCCTCACCTACAGTGGCTAAATTTCAAATTTGTATTTGCCCCCTCCTCTTTGCTACAGAAAAGTCTGAACACAAGTGTCTCATACTCTTAGATTGTATTAATCTTGATTTTTCTAGACACTTCTCTTGCCCCTAGATGTAAATGCTGGCTGGTTTGCAAAAGTCAATTTCTCCATCTTTACTGGATTTCTTACGATTGGCTCCATAGGATTAAACCAAAACTCTTCTTCTTCACTTCAACAGTCCGCTGACTGTACCCAAATGTTACTCTTACACAAAACAGCAAGAGAACACAAATATGGAGTGATTGGTTTGAGCACATTAATCTCCATATGTCTTTTGGTTACCAAACAAAATGTGAAAAATAAGTGTATTCCCCTACTCTCTGGCATTACAATAAAATGCCACACACTGGGCGGCTTAAACAGCAGAAATTTATTTTCTCACAGTTCTGAAGGCTGAGAAGTTCCCAATGAAGGTGCCAGCAGGGTTGTTGTCTGGTGAGGACCCCCTCCTTGAGGTGCAGATGGCCACCTTCTCACCACGTGCTCACGTGACCTTCCCTCTGTGCGGGCCACCGGGGGCTTAGCGCTTCATCGTACGAATTTGGAGGGGGTTCACAATCCATTCCATGGCAATAAGCACAGTACCAAGAAATACAGCAAAAAAAAAATCTTTGTGGCATGATAGTTAAACAAATGTTTTAAATACAGTAAATTGAGAATACCCATATTTAAATGTCATTCATCAGATTTAGTAATGCATCAGATTTTAAGTAAGCCATGCTGATGGCAAGGAGATGAGTATTGAACAGTGGCATCATTAATTTTTTGCACAGTAGGGACAAGTAATTGTTATATATATCATTACACTAATTTTATATTTCTTTAGAGAAAACTCACCAAGGGTGTAGAGGAATGGAGAAGTCTTAATGGATCTGACTATTGCTAATGGGTTTAACAAAAATTGTGTGAGTGAAACGCAGCTCACATCGATGCTTTGTGAGTGGAGTAAAGAAACATCAGTGTTTGAGTTACTACTACTTTTGTAGTGCTTTAGATTTCATTTGTTGTTTGTTTTAACACTATTTACTCTGCACTAGTTTGGACATGGATCACGGCAGCAATGGATGTGTGAGAAAGATTACCAGTGTGAACCTTGACAAACTCATTCACGACTTCTCACAGATAGAAAAGGTACGTAAAGGTATCAAACGGTTGAAATGTATAGGAGCTGGAAGAAAGAAAAATGTACAGCCCCCAAATGAGCAGGTAAACATCATGGAAAACTTTGCTAAGTCCATTATGATTTTAAATATGTATTTAAAATATATATGATTTTGGATCATTTATACTAATGCATCGAAATGTTTCTGGGGCAAGGGAATGAATAATTGATGTACTTTTGCTAAAGTTAAAGGGCAAATACATATTTAAATGCCTAAGATGTCCACAGACTCAGGGATGATTTAGTGAGAACTGAAGCAGACTCAGTCCTCAATGTCTTACCACTGTGACTAGCTCTGGCAGGTTCTTTACTCTCTCCCATCCTGTCTGGTCCCTTTCCTTCTCCTTTGCCTAGAAGCAGGCCCATTTGAAGTCCTCCCTGCCCAGCTCTGGACAAGTTACATGGTAGACCGAGTCCACAAGCATATCTTAGGGGTTTTCCCCTCCTCTGCCTGGGAGAGGAGGGGGAATAGCCGTTGAGAAAATGTGGATGGAGAAACTAAAGATCTGGGGAGTGGGCTTGTGAAGCAGAGGAAGAGGGGAAATAATTCCTGCCTCAGTTTTCTCTCCTTATCATCCTTCCCTTTTCCTCCTTTTCATCTGCACAATGTAGTATTGTCATAAGAATTTTCATTGTGATGGATTTCAATGTAGTATTGTCAAAGAATTTTCATTGTGATGGATATTTTGAGATACCATTATGAGCTTTTTTTTTTTTTCCCAAACAGTGAGCTGGGTTTTTTGGTGTGTATGGGTTTTTTTTGTTTTGTTTTGTTTTGTTTTGTTTTTGTTAACCAAGCGATTCTTACCAAAATAAGAGAGAATGAGATTTAGCACTGTTGATGGGTAAGGAACAGGTGCAAAGTTTTTAGAGCTTATTTTGTAAATGTCTATCATATTCTTAAACATTTTAAATAAAAAATATGTTCATTTTTGATGTGATAATGGTATTGTGATTGTATTGTTGAGTCTTAGCTCCTAGAGGTACACGTTGATGGTGATATTCATGGATGAAATAACCTAATGTCAGGGGTTGCTCTGAGATAAATTCAGAAGTGGTGGCGATAAGGAAGTGGGTGTAGACGCTACGAGGCTGGTCGTGAGTTGGTGGTTTCTGCTGGCGTCTGACGGGTACAGGGCAGCTATTGTACTGTTCACAAAGATACCAGAGAGAGATGTAGTCAGGAACGTTTATTAATTATCTGCAGGAGCAAAATGTGGAAGCAGCACAAATTTTCCTCAATAGGAAACTAATTAAATACATTGCATAATGTTCATAAATGAAACAAAATGCCGCTGTTAAAAAGAATGAGGTAGACCTACGTGTGCTTTTGTGACATCATGTCCGAGGTAATGGTGCCGAGTGCAAATCCAAAGTGTGGAACAGAGGAGAGTATGATCCTTCCCTATAGGTGTATAATCATAAGATATTTGGGGAACATGCTTAAGGAATTGCTAACCATAGGACTAGGGGTTAAACAGTTGGACAGAATGGGGTACAAGTTACATCAGACTTAATTATTATACTTGCAGGTATGAAGTGGTTTGTATTTTCATTTGTCTTTATGTACTTAGGTAAGGAAGCCAAAATAACAGCCTTGACTGGGTAATGATATACGTTGTTTCTTCTACAGAAAATGATAGAAACCACTGGAAAGAATAATATACTGGATATGCAGTTGGAAAAAACTAACTGTTTATTAAAGGGAATGCAAACAAAGGAGGTCTCACTTAAAGAAGGTTAGTTTTCTTGCTACCTGAACAAATGCTAATTCTAATGAGAGTGTGTTTTGGTATAATGGTGATTGATATTGCCCCATGCATTTGTAAAATATCTTAAATTTACATAGCACTTTCCAGACTATCACTGTATCCTTAAAATAGCCCTGAAAGACAGATAAGACTGGTATTATTACTCCACCTCAGTAATGAAGAAAAATAAGATAAAAGAAGTTAAATAATCAGTCTGAGGCCACTGGGCTAACAAATGGCAAATCCAAGAATCAGTCCAGGCCTCCAAAACTGGGGGAAGAAATACAGTTGAATTCCTGCCTCCAAAAAGAAATTTCAAGATGGGTCAAAAGAAATTTCAGATGGGTCAAAAATTTTAATGTTAAAAATGGACTCTGCTAGGCTGATGCACTGCACTGTCTTTTTTTTTTAAGATTTTATTATTTTTAGACAGAGGCAAATGGAGGGAGAAAGCAAGGGAGAGAAACATCAATGTGTGGTTGCTTCTCACACGCTCCCTACTGGGGACCTGGCCCACAACCCAGGCATTTGCCCTGACTGGGAATCCAACCAGCAACCCTTTGGTCCCCAGGTTCAGTGTTCAATCCACTGAGCCGCACCAGTCGGGGCTGCACTGTTCTTTGAGACTCCCACGCCACTTGTCACTCAGCTCCCAGTGGCTGGCCCCCAGCTGCACCCCCCCCCACCCCGGCACCCGGTCTGGGCCTGAGAGGGAGCTGGGCCCCTGCTGGGAGGGCCGGTCACTGAGGAGGTGGTGTTTCTCTGCGGGGCTGGCTTTGGGGCGAGGGACACTGGTTTGTTGGGGGCAGGGACTGAAGAGAGAGCCACTTTGCACTATACTTGTGTAGCATGTGTATTTTATATTTGAAAAAATAATTTAAATACTTTTTAAACATCTAATTATTTTAAATCTAAATACCTTTTTGCTGAATAATACACAGTGGAAGTAAGCGAACAAGTAAAAATGACACCTTACAGAGTCCAGTGTGTATTAATTTGTTTAGAAAAGAAGAACAGATTATATAGATGATTGAATTTGTTCAACAATAGTGAATAAGACTGTGATATTTTACTTTGCACATCTGGCACCAGAAAAAGAATTTCTTTGCCATTTCAACATGATAAATAATATTAGTGTTGAGGACCAAGTACTGTAAAAATTATTTTCATGCATAATTGTTTTAACATTTCCAACTGCTTTATGAAATAGGTGTCCATGAGAAAAGTGCTAGTTAATGGTAGAGCCCAAATTTGAGCTCAAAATAGTCATTGATTTACCAAATTAGGTAGTATAAGTAGCTTAATATTCTGACCTCAAGTTTTTAAGAATTGAACAGGACTGTAGTGTTGTTCAAATTTCATTATAAAGTCCAATATAAATGATAATTGGGTGAACGTTTGCAAAGAAAATTGAAAGCCATTATTCTAAAATAATGAGTGGGGACATTCTTTAGTTTAGAAAAATGAATAAGGAACAATTCCTTACTGAGCCTGTTTCTGCTGTTTAAAAAAAGAAACGTGTTGGGAGGGCCACCTTGTGTTCAAATTGTAAAATGCACATTTTTTAACATTTAGTGTACTTTTAATTTCGGGGTGCTGTTTTTAATTTGTTGATTGATTACTGAGGAAACCTCAGTTACCATATTCCATGAATTACTGATTTCATGCCTCTCAAAGGCACAAAAAGTGTGGATTGAGCTCGGGCTGCGAACCAGGCATCGCAGGTTCGATTCCCAGTCAGGGCACATGCCTAGGTTGCAGGCCGTGGCCCCCAGCAACCACACATTGATGTTTCTCCCTCTCCCTCCCTCCCTCTCTCCCTCCCTCTCTCTCTCTCTCTTTCTCTCTTTCTCTCTCTCTCTTTCTCTCTCCCTTCCCTCTCTAAAAATAAATAAATAAAATCTTTAAAAAATAATAAAATAAAAGACACAAAAAGCAAGTGACAGCAGAGCCTCTGCCTCCTACATTTTTAATTGTAGCAGCTAACACAGTAACATCCATGAAGTGGGCATTATCAAATGTAATTTATCCCTCATTCTGTTCCTGGGAAAGAGCACGAGAGACAAAAATGGAGCATGGTGGGAATTTTGTCTGGAGGGGTGGTGGGAATGATAGAGGGAGTGTGGGAGGAGTGGAGAAGTGAAAAACCACAATAGCAGAATCTTTTCACTGCACGGAGCTTTTAACTTCTGCAGAACGCGTCCGTGTCTGTTAGTGTAGGCGAAGACGGTGGGCGTGTGGGACCTCTCACTGCAAGTGGAGTTTTGCATTCTCCCCACACGGTATCGGTGCTTCCATTTAGTCAAGAAATAAAAAAAAAACTATTGGACACTTATGGAATAGTTACCATGTTGGATCCAAGGAACATCAAAATAAAAAGGCATCATCTTTTCCTGAACGGGTCTACTGTCTAGTGGGAGAAAACACAAGTAACTAAAACGCAATATGGTAAAGGGAGAAAAGAGACATATACAAATTGTTAAGAGGCATAAAGGGGAAATATAATAACAGCGGCCGTAACTGTGTTGAATGCTGTGACACAGGAGCCCCAAACCGGGGAGCTGCTCACAGGTTCCTGATGTTCCGGAAAGACCACCCTGAGGACCAGCAGATGTGGGCGCGCCGGTGATTGCTCACGTCACAGGGCAGCGCACCGCTGGCGGGGGCGGGTCGGTGCGAGAGAGACCGCGTCTCCTCCAGGCTGAGGCTCACTGGCTCTAAGGGCCCCAGACAAAGGGGGCACGTGTCCTACGTGTGACTCTAAACTCCATGACTTCAGTGTGTGGAAGGGTCCAGAGGCCATCACAGGACAAGAAGCCACTCCCAAAAGGAGATGAGGAAGGAGTCACAGGACAAGAAGCCACTCCCAAAAGGAGATAAGGAAGGAGTCACCACCCTCTCCCAAAACAACACACATTCCTTCTGGCCAAGGGCCCCCCCCCACCCCCAGCCCTCACAGCGGCTGGTGGGAGAGCCACGTCATCATCGACCCCCACAAATGTCTGAGAGTGAGTTTAGAAAGTGCATTTTCTCATTTGGTTGTCAGAACAGTCTTATGCATGAGAACAGTCTTCTACATGAGGTAGGATGGGTATCACCTGCACTTTTATTTCGCAGATGAAGAATATAAGCTCAGATAGGCTGTACAACATAGCCAGGCTGTCATAGCTTGAAAGTGAAGGAGGGAAGTCTAAGCCAGTCCCCTGACTCCTGGGGCCATGGGGCATCGGCTGCCCCACCGTCCCCGAGGAAGAAGTGGATCAGCAGAGTGAGAGCACAGATTGAAGTGAGAGACACGTGTCTCTACCTTCCATACGCTGACTGGGGAATGTTTGGCAAGTAGCCAGATCTCCGTGGATGACTTGCTGCCTCTGTAAAATCAGGATAATGATACCACCTTCTGAGGTGGTGTTTTTGTTTTTGTTTTGTTTTTTAAGATCTTATACATTTAGTTTTAGGAGGGGAAAAGAGGGAGAAAGAAAGGGAGAGAAACATGCATATGCAAGAGATACATGGATTGGTTGCCTCTTGCACACCCCCAGCTGAGGACAGGGCCTGCAACCCAGGCATGTGCCTTGTGTGGGAGTTGAACCAGCGACCTGTGGATTCGCAGGCCGGCACTCAGTGTAATGATCCACACTAGCCAGGGCTGAGGTGGTGCTTTTAATGCACTTAGTATAATGCCTGGCAGAGCAAACATTCAATAAATGGTACCATTATTATAACTAGGCACCTTATTCACTACAAATGTGATATTTACAATTTAGCCATGAAAACAGATGCCCAATTAGAATGGCGGCTGGTTAGTGTGTCCTACCAGTGCATGCCTGCTGAATATTGGTCATGGGCCTGTAAAACTGGGAGAAAGGGAATAAGGCTCAGTATTTATTTTATTAATTAAGCCAAGTGCATAGAGGTGAGATTGCCTTTCAACTTTAAAGTATGTTTTTTAAAAATATTGTTACCTTATAAAGTTATTAAACATTATATATTTAGCTAGTATAATTATAAACTTAAGGTAGTGAAAGCTATGGTTCCTAACCTTATAGTAAAAATGCAGTAGATACCAGTAACTATCACAAAGAGTCTTTGGTTCTGTTCTTGCTCCCTTTCCAGAGCCTCAGTTTATACAAATCACTGTGAAGAAGTTCTCCTAAGCTCGCCTGCCCGGTGTCAGTGAAGTAGTTAAAATCATAGACCGGGGCCCGGCTGCCGGGGTTCACATTCTGGCTCTACCATGTCCTAGTTGTGAGTGGGACCTTGGGCAAGTTGCTGCCCTTCGGTGAGCCCGTTTCTCCTGTGCAAAATGAAGCAAGGACTAGGAACCTCCTCATCGGGTTAAGAGGGTTAAGAGATTTAATATTTGCAAAGCCCTTAGAATAGTAATACAATGTATGTTATTGTTTTAAGACTAGAGTTTCTCTACTTACTCCTGTCTTGCTTTGGCTTACATTGGCATTGCCTGCCTGTGAATCAGTCACTCCACGAATATGTATGGAGTTCCTGTTATGGACCACAACTGCCCTGCGTATTAGGGAGAAGCAGTAAATGAAACAAAATAGTCCCTGCCACCCTGGAACTTACAGCCAAGCAGACTGGTTCAAGTTTCAGAAGTTCCCCCACTGTCGCTCCCCATCAGAGGTTCAGCTGCTGCTGCTGGTACCCAAGAGAACACTGGAAGCTTTATGCGTGTATCTGGGCACTGACGCTTGCAAGGGAGGCTTTGTCCCCCATGCATCACAAGTCACTGGCACCGAAGCGCTGATGCCCTGTAGCGGCACATTGGGTTTTCACTCCTTTTATCACCACTCCCTTGCCCTGGGACTCGGGCATAAAAGCCTAAGAGGACAGAGAGGAGGAAAGGCATTATCTTAACCCAAATGATACCTCACCAGCTCTGGCTCTCCAAATGTGCCTCTACTCTCTGTTCTTGGGGTGTTCTTTCACGGAAAACTCGCAGGGATACACTCTCCAGAGTCCCCAGACAGTTCCACGCGTGCCTGACTTCTGGGGCAGCTCTTGCTCAGGCACAGCGAGGGCCTCCCCTGTCCAGGGTTCCAAACCCTGAATTGCACTGGCCTTAAAGGGTAGGACAAAGTCATTTTATATAACTTACTTTGAGATGCCTGGCTGCTTTATTAAGATCTGATCGTTGTCAATTAAGTATTGTTTTATTTTATGTAGTTCAATTTTGAGAGAATATTTCCAAAATGAAAGCAGATAATCTTCAAACAAATTTGTCTTTTTTTTGTTTTAGAATGTGCTACTCTTCATACTATGATAAAAGGGCTACAACAGACAATTGAATATCAACATAATTTGAAAGGTAAGTTAGAAAAAATAAAATCTAAGAACATATATTTGAGCACCTTTAAAGATAGTTTTCACATTGTTGATAATAAGTTTTTTTAATTTGGTCTTATAAATTTATCAGCAAAGGGAAGGTCTCCTTAATACTTACCATCTTCCTCATTTACTATGAGACCCAAAATTCCGTGCTGAGAACAGCAGAACAGCTCGGTCATACTCTGACAAGAACACCAGGGTTTTACAGTCCGGCACGGTAGTGCTCCCAGTCCCCAGGAACCCGCGCCCAGCTTTGAAGCGCAGGCATTTACTGGTCGGATAGTCACACGGTGAACGTTCTGCCCGAACTGCAGTGATTGTTTCCCGTGTGAGCTTTCGTCACCGACTAAGGCCACGTTTGTGTGAGCGGAGCTGACACGTGCAGCTTTTCTGCCTGTTGCTAGGCGGGCTCGCCCAGTAGGCCTACCACTGACACCCAGTAGGCCTACCACCGACGCCCAGTGAGCCCCGGAGGGTTCTGTCCCGTTCGGACTCGGCCGCGGCGCCATGTCCGTGGGGTTTTCCTCCTGGACTGGGGGTCGGACTGAACTGCCTCCAGGGTCCCTCCCAACGGACTCCTCCCCTCAGTCTTCTGCTTCTGTCATGAAGTACTTTGCGTGGGTAGGTGAAGGGTTCACTTTTTTTAACCAGTGTAAAGTTACTCACTTTTTTATTTACCTGTGTAAAGTATCACTTTACATAGTGAGATATAATAGTGATCTTACATGCCGTTTATTTGACTTGGCATGTTATTTATTATCTTCATAATGTTCTAATTGATATTTAACTTTTTTTAAGGTTTACTATTAGTTCTTACCCCCCTCCCCACTGCTTTCCCTTGAAACATTCCCTTAATGTTAATGAGACAGATACAGAAATTGTACTAGAAGACTTTGCACTTACACCGTCAAAAAGCAGCTGCGGTGTGGAAGGGGTTCACCTCCATGCCCATGCACAGCACTGACTGCTGCTCCGGAGATTGGGAAGGGTAACAGCTGGGGAACCGTGCCGTCTCCACTGCCTTATGTCCTGGCTGACTGTGGCGGGCTTCTGGCCCCACGTGGCCCACAGATGCCCACTTCCCGCGGTGCCAGCCTTCTGCTCACTGTTCCCAGTGGTTTATTCCCACCCCACCGCCGGCTGGGCTCTCACTGCCCCGTCTCAGTGCGGACGGCTCAGAGCACAATTCCCTTCTCCGTGAGCAAACACCGCACTGAGCTGCATTTAAGAAGTGCGTGAACATTCATACTTATTTACAGTCGTCTTATTTTAGGGTTTAGGTGATACTCACTTTAACTGTTTTCAGGATTTTGTTTCAATAAAACATCTACCAGAAAAACTTTTTAACTAAAACTTTAAATATTTTTTAATTTAGCTTCTGGTAAGCTAATTTTTTTAATTTCCAGAAAGTCTATTATAATTCAATAATGAATACAGTATTTCTTTGCAAAAGGGTATCAAATATTGACCAATATTCACATTACCATCTTTGTACGGGTATGGTAGTACAAAATTTTAAGTAGCCCTGCTGTAACTTTTTGGTTCATAGGCCAGCACTCAATCCACTGAGCCACCCCAACCAGGGATTTTTACATTATTTTGATTGCATTTTTTCCATTACCATTTTTTCCCCTGTACCACCTCCCATCTCCCACCTCCACCCCCCCACAAACACACATACACAGTATGTTTCATCTTTTAAACATACAAGACAACAAAGTTCCCTTGACTTTGGATTTATTCCCTTCCATTGTCCTCACTCTTTACAGTCAAACCTCAAGGGAATAATAGTCTGCAATCAATGTCTCTAGTTACTTTTACCTGGTGTTTAACTTAGAACAGTGGGGCATCTCCCGAAGTTTTCATTCCAAGTACTCTCACTTGACCCTACTTATTGCATTTACTGCCATTGATCGTAACCCCTTTAACCTCTTGTCTTTGTACCACTCTCTCCTGCATCTCTGGACACTTCCCAGTCTCCCCATAGACTGTTCTCCCTTTGGCCACCCCTACGTGTTTCTCAGGCCACCAGAAACGTTGTCCTGGATGTCCCAGCCTTTTCAAGTGCAGCATGGTAAAGCGCCAGATCTACTCTTTCTCTCTCAAAAATCTCCTCCTCTTAATTTTCCCAAACTGTTAAGGATTTTTCAGTTACCAAACCAGAAACCCAAAAGGCAGAGGTTTTCCTTCTATTTCGCCTCTGCTCTCCTATCAGTCCCTAAAGCCCCTGCTGATTCTACCGTCTAAACAGTTACCTTCATTTTCCTTGTGTCTCCTGCTCCCACTGACCTAAGTTAGGCTCCTGGTAGTTCTCCCTTGGTCTCTTTCCTGATATCCATTCCTCTGGGTTCAAAACCTTCCCACTCATCCTATGTGCATTGCCAGATACTCTCTTTAACTGTAACACTTTACTGTTCAGAATTCTTTGATGACTCCATAAAATGTCTTGGTGACCCTGTAAAATAAAACTTAAAGCATCTGCATAGAATGTGTCTACCCCCTATTGGGATATGGCCCCAGCTGTTTAGCACGTCTTCCTCACTGTGTGCACTCCAACAGCAGCTGCGCTCCGAGTGTGATTTTCCCAAACGTGCCGCACGCACCCAAGGCCGAAGTCTCCTGCACAGTTTCCTGCATCCGAAGTGCCCTCCAACACGGGCTGGAGTCTCAGCTCAAGTGGCCCCTCCTCTGTCCGTCCTCTCCTGACTCAGGCTTTTCTTCCCCAGGTGCCGCCGCATTTCAGACACGCTGCCATTGCAGGGCAATCACGACATATCATAGCTACTCACACACCTGTCTCACCACTAGGCTGGCAGTTCTTCGGAGAACAATGATAATTTTGTTTCAATATCCCAGTCCCCCGCCCTGTGTGCAGGTGTCCTAGACATGCAGTAGAGCTGTTTGCAAGTGTCAGACACGTGCATGCATGGAAACTTGAAGTGTGGGATACAGTCCCATATTAATTGAAAAGTGCTGTGTGTCAGGATACTCTTTGATGATTTTTGCACAGGTGAAAATGAACAACTGAAAAGAAGTGCTGATCTTATGAAGGAGAAGTTAAAATCTCATGAACAGGTGCGTTTATGTGTCTCTATATCACTCAGCTCCCTGTAGAGCATTTGTCTTCTCAAATTAGAAAATAAAAGTGGTTGTTTTCATTACTGAAGATGCCAAAATTTATAGAGGAAATATATGTGTGTGAAAGTGTGTGCTGGAGCTTTTGATCAATAAAAACTTTTAAAGAAATAGAAATCTTGAGGGCCCTAGTCTTCTTGCATACCGCAATGCACTCATATATCACTTGCACTTTCTCTTTCTACCAAAAAGAGATGCAGCCATTTTGCTACTTATTTGAAAATTATATTAATAGAGTTTTTACTCTAATGAGCACCTTTAAACCTCTTTAACCATAAAATAAATGAGTCTTTAATCTGTATGATTGGAGTAACACATTACAATTTTATTGCCCCACGTAAGTGAAGGGAGCAGTAAATCACCAGTCGACTCTCTCCCGGGGGCCGCCACACCCTCTGTAACGTTCTCTTTTCCCCGTAAGAACAGCAGCCAGCGCGGTAGCAATTCTATCACATAGCGCGGTGACGGGAAACAGAAGGTGCTCAGTAAAGGTCAGCTCCCACCCGTCTGCCCTTTGGGAGGGTTGTTGCGCTGATTATTCTCATCTCCCAAGAGCCAATGTGTCACACTCGGACCCAAGATTTCCAGAATTCTGGTCGGCTCTGTATCAAACTGAGAACTTCCATTTGCAGGATCATCTCTAAATCCGCTCTGGTCCCTCACCTGAGGAGCCTTGAAGGAGCATATTCTCATTCTAAGACCCTGCCCGGGCTTCTGTGTATCACTTCGGGTGTGGTAAATAGTGCCTGGCGGTGCTCTTGGAAAATGTAGCTCCTCAGCATCAATTCGGGACAATTTAAATATCTCTGGGATATATCCACCGTTCGTTTTCCCTTTCCTTTATTCTCCCCCATCCTTTCCGTGTCTTGCCTGTAGAGCTCAACAATAGACAGTGAAGTCAGGGTGTAGCTGGGGCCGAGAAGGGGGAGAAATGTTTGCCTCTTTTCGCAAGCCACAGAACACTGCTTTGTCTGGAACACCATAGGGGTTTTCAGGAGAGTGAAAAGTCATGAGAAAACACCACAACCCAAGATTCTGAGCTGCTTAATCAGCTGCTATCCAAAGCAAACTAAAGACCCCAATCCAATGAGAAATCTCTAGTACGAAACTTCCAGTCACATCCAAAACATACGTAAAACCACTAGCCAGAAACAAACTCAGGAAGTACTCGATAGCCATGTTATGGGACTGGGAGAGGTTTTGTAACTTGTCGACAGAGAATCCTTAAGTTTTATAAAAACAAAAATACAACCAGAGGCTATTCCTTGTTGGGACTTGGTTCCCTTGGAGAGGAGGGGCGGGCCCAGGCTGAAGAGGGGACAGAGGGTCTGGTGGGACGGAGCCCCAGCCCGGCCCTTAGGGCAGCCCCCCTGCCTGAGGGTTGCCGTGAAAATCCTGGGTCTTCTGGAAGCATTCCACTTGAGCGGTGGAACCTTCAGGCCGTGAAGTCCATGGGGAATGAAAATTGTCCCTCGTTTCTCAGAGCAGTAACTGTGCACTGTACCCCGTTGAGTCTGGAGTAGTTTGTGAAAGCCACTTAGTAGTTGTGTGTATAGGAATCTAGATCTGTGCATATGAAGAACAGCCATTCGTGAGATTCAGCCCAACTTCACCTGCAGAACTTCCACTAAAGCCAGTGGTTGGTAGGCTCGGCTGTTCCGCAGGTGGCCCGGCAGGGTACCACAGTGCGGGTCTAGACTGTATCCCCTTGAACTTCTGCGAGCCGAGGGATCTAGGCTCCTTTCCCTCCTTCGTGCACTGAACACTCTGTTGAAGGCTCCGAACCCTGCCTGAGAAAAATGTCCCAGAGCGCATATGCGCATATGCGCACATATATGTGTATAATTTTGCCTGCAATTCCAGGAAGTTAACAGATCCTCGAAAGCCTGTTTACTGGGTCTAAGCGAAGAACTTCTGACTTAAATGATTTTCATTGGCACTCTCATTCATTCGACAAATACATATCAGGAGATGCACACTAGGAGTTGGGAAAACAGCAGTGATTAAAAAGTTCCTGCCTTCTATGGTGTTCAGAGGCTTTTTGTGACCACCCACCCCCATTGCTGTGTCTTTCTTACTGCACTGCTTCACTCTCCTTGCTGCTTTCCTTTCCTCCTACGTCTCAAGCCTGTGAGTGATTTCTTTAAGCAGGAACGTGCCACTGGGAAAATTGTCAGTCCCTTCTTTGGGGACTTCTTCTTCCACCGCCTTCTCAGCACCCCTCCCCCATTCAGCAGGAGAACTTGCCTCTGCGCCCCCACCACCGACGGAGCTGGTCTCGGGTCCTGCGGGGCGCTCCTCCACTCCCCAGTCCGCCCTCTTCTAGCCTCTGCCTCTTGAAGCTAATTCTCAAAACGGGGTGCTTCACCTCCTTCCGGGAGTCGGAAGTGTTTATATAACTGTTAGAAACATAGAAGCTCAGCCCGCTTTCAAAGGGGTTTGTTCCACGTTGGGGTAAGCTGACTGACTGTCGAATAGCGACTACTCTTGGCCCTGAAGCCGAGCTTTGGCTTTTATTGGACATATTTTAATGCTGTCATGGCATTTATTCACATAATTAAACAAAATATTTTAAGAATCTCTGATGTGCTAAGCACTGGTAATGAGTATTCAGAAAGCAGAAATAAAACGACACTCTCCAGATGGTCTCTGTCTTCTTGGACCAGAAGCTGATTATTCTAACAGTGAACAGTAGTATCTTTCCCTTCTAGCTATGATTACATATCAAAAGTCAGTATAAGCCCTGGCTGGTGTAGCTCAGTGGATTGAGCGTGGACTGCGAACCAAAGCATTGTAGGTTCGATTCCCAGTCAGGGCACATGCCTGGGTTGCAGGCCACAGCCCCTAGCAACTGCACATTGATGTTTCTCTCTCTCTCTCTCTCTCTCTTTCTCCCTCCCTTCCCTCTCTAAAAATAAATTTAAAAAATCTTTTTTAAAAAGTTAATATAAAATTTGAAAATTTTACCTTTCTAATCATTCAAAAGTAGTGCACGCATATTTAAATTGAAGAATAAATATATATTTTAATCTTTAGGAATATAAGAATAATATTGCCAAACTTATGAGTGAAATGAAAATCAAAGAAGAAGTACATAAGGTAGAAATAAAGAAACTTTATCAGGATATGCAAAAAAAAGGTAAGGTAATTTTTTATTTCCTGAATTCTAAGATACCATGAGACAATTGAAATGCATATATAAACTTTTTCAGCAATAGCCAGTATTCTTGAATGAACACTGCCTTGATGTATTTCAGTTTAGGTTTTCACCTAAATTATAACATTTCTAAATTGGATTCATGGTGTTTGCATTTATTATTTCATATAAAACAATGTTCTTATAAAATTAATATAAAGTGTATAATTAATAACTAATATTTATATATTCAGCATATTGAATATAACTTCACTATGGTAATTTTCTTCCTTTAATAAAGCAGATCTCATGAACCTATGTTGCTTCTTAACTAGTTTCATAAGGGTATTAAAAATCTTTCTTAATGAGACCATATTTATGTACATAATATGCAAAAATGAACTTGAAATGGATGACTGGTCTAAAAGTAAACCTACATCTATAAAATTGTGAAGAGTTCATAAAAGATAATCTTTGCAACCTTGAGTTAAGCACAATTCTTACAAAGAGACAAAAAGCACAAATAATAAAAAAATTCTAAGTTCACCTTCATCAAAATTATTAACTTCTGTCCTTCAACACTGTTAATACAATGAAAAGACAGGCCTCGGACTGGCAGACTGTACTTCCAATGTGTATCCGATAAAGGAATTGTATCCAGGATATGAAAAAACTCGAACAATTCAATAATAAGTCAGACAACCCAACAAGGCAAAATACCTGAACAGCACTTCCCCCGAGATACACAGATGGAAAATAAGCACATGGAAACATGTTCAGCATAACTAGTAAGCAGGAAAATGCAAAATAAAACCATGATGAGATAAAACCACTCTGAACGTTTTAGAACCGCTGACATGTTTTCAAACACTGTCAACAGCAAGTGTTAATGAGGATGCCTCACCGTGGGGGCTGCAACCTCCATCAGCCACTTTAGAAGGGACGTTTGCAGTTTCTCCTGGCCTTCTAAGAAGGAGATAACTAGAAAATCCTTATATGTCTGTAAATCATTTCTGAATAACCTGTGGGCCGAAGTAGAAATCCTGGAGGGTCCTGAGCTGACTAATACAGACAACACATCAAAACTGTGGGGCACAGATAAAGCTGCGTTTATGCGTCTGTGTATGTATGGGCTTCCATACAAATATTGGAAAATGTTTAAATCAATCACCTAAATACCTATATCCAGAAGTTAAGGGGAAAATATCAAACTAAGACCAAAGACATTAGAAAGAAGAAAGTCGGGTATTAATGAAATTACAAACACATACATAATAAAGAATCAGATTCTAAATTTTTTTGAAAAACCTAATAAAATTGATTAACTTCCATCAAAGCTATACAAGAAAAAATAGAGAAACTTTCAACGAAGCAATATCAGAAATGTGAAAGGAAAGTCACTTTGAACTTTAAAAAGCGAATGAACTCCTAATTAACTGCATAAACTAACATCTTTTTGCCAATGAATTTGAAATTTTTGATGAATCAGACATCTTTGAAGGACAAAAAGCACACAAGAAGAAACTGAAAATCTGAGTTGTTCTGTCTATTACAGAAGTTAAATCTATCATAAATATTTTTCCCACAAAGAAAACTCCAGACTCAGATGGCTTTCCTGGTGAAATTCTACCCAACAGTCCAGGAAAAGCAATGCCAGTCTTTCACAAGCCCTTTCAGTGGATTCACAAACAGAAAGCAGGAAACATTTTCCAGTTCATTCTAGAAGGCCAGCATATTCTTCATCACAAAAACTTTCAGGAGAATTATAATAAAGAAAATCACACACCTGTCTTCTCATACACATGTATTAGTCCACAATGGGTGGACAATGGGTGGACTTTTTCCGGACAGACCTCATGTATTTTTAGCAATAAAATTTACTTCTTTGTGGATCACTGAAAATACTGAAGAACTATAAGCTTATAAGATTTTTTTAAGCGTTAAGGTGAATTAATTTCATTTATTTTGGGGTTTTTTTTTCAGTTGAATTAAGTGAAGAAAAGAATAAAGAACTGATAGAGAAAATGGAGGTGGAAATTTCAGAGCTAAATGAAAAGTTAAGAATTCAGGAAAAGGAAAGACAAAGTGAAATCATCAAACTACAGCTGGAGGTAAATGTTGAAGACCACTGACTGTGAGTGCGCACCCCTCAGTCTGGACCACGGTGTGGGCATTTCCGTCCCACTGAGATGGACTTCGCACCGCACACTTTGTCACAGGCAGCGCTCACACCGCTGCAACCGGGAGCTAGGCCGCCTTCCAGCACTCGGCCCGAAGGTGGGACTGTCACTCGTGCAGAAGGTCCTGGGCTCCAGGGAAGGCCTCGCTCCCTCTCAGGCGTCAGATAACCCAGGGATTCCCCGTCCTTTATAGCTGAGTCCACGCAGGCTTCATGGGACTCCCTTCCCGCAGGGGAGAGTGTTTCCAATGCTTTGCATCACTCTCCCCTTGGCAGAAATTGTGCAGCCCTGGTGGACCAACCAGTAATCCCTCTCTCTTTACTTAAAAAGAGACAAATGTCTCCCTAATAAATGTGTACAAAAATACATATCGTAGGGGCAGACAAACCAGACTCTTTTTTTTTCATTTTAAAGGGACTTCAGACAGGGCATCTTAAAGACTGACGCTCCAGTTCTTTGCTGGAAAGCCTTTTCAGTGGGTTAACCAGCTGTCAAAATCTAAAGATACTAGTATGTGGCAATATATCTGCTCTTTAAAAGTTTCCCTAGATCTTACCAATCTTCCTTTCCATCCTGTTTTACCACATTCCTCCAGCCTGACATGTCACCTTACACTGTCATAGTTCACCACGAGTTAAGGTAACTTACTGTTCATGTTCCTGAAAGTCGGTGTCCCTGGGGCTTGTGGCGAGGTACGGCGTTGAAAACTGTGTAATCACTGAGCAAAAGGGTTGAGTTTAGAGGCTTTTTGCAGCTGCTGCCTCTGGCCAGGGGTACCCACACGCCACAGCAGGCGCTGCAGGGCCAGTGGGGTCCAGAGGCCATATTTCCAGACCGACCCTCAACTTCTAATCCCTTCACTGGGGATGTGTGTTTCAGGTGCTGTCTGGGCCCTGTCGGCCCAGGCAGGTCTGTGGTGTGGCTCACGTGCAGAACTCTTGGTGCTCTTTGTTGTCATGCAATCGCCCACCCCTCCCCCCCAACCAGAACACGGTCTCACGGAGAGTTTCTCCTTAGTCCACAGGGAAATTACACAAAATTATCATTATAAGGAGAAAATTATAATGGAAGATTTTGTAAAATAATATGACCTGTAAGAATGACCTTACGAAAAATTTTTAACCTGATTTAGTTTAATGTCAAACTAGAGAGAGTTCAGACTAAATCGACAAAAGCGTATCCAAACCCTACTATTCGGCCTCAAAGTCTGTGCAGAAGGGCACGTGAGATTCCCTCCCATGACGGTTAATTACACTACATTTTCTTTACAAAAGCACACTCAGAGTAATGTGAAAATATTTTTCTCTCTAAGTCAGCTAGATTATTAACCCTGCCTGATAGAAACCCCTGTTGTCTTGAGAAAAAGATGAGGCTAGCCCCACCCAGAATCTCGCAGGTAGCGCCCGATGTTCGGTCCTTTTAAGAAGCTCCGCAGGCAGTCTCAGCATGCGGCCAGGGTTAGTCCTGTTTGGGCATCCGTTGCCTTTTCTTAAGGAAAGGCTTTCCTGTATTCTGTTATACAGAGACTATACTTAAGTTACACACTAAATATCAAAGGATATAATGGATTATATTTCTAGTTATGGAGATGATTGCTTCTAATTGTTTAACTAGAATGTTCTCAATAACTTTCTTTTTAAACTTGATTCAGTTTGATGCCAAACTAGCAAGAGTTCAAACTAAGTCAAAACCGTATCCAGATTCTACTGTTTTGCCACAGAGCATCTACAGAAGGGTATGTTGATTTTTCTCCCATGGCTGTTACTTAAAAAAATAAATCTTTTCAGTGTGTTTCCTTTCAAAAGAGCTGTCTAAGAACTTTACTTTTTTTTTTCAAGATTTTAGGGGAAGGGAGGGAGAAAGAGAGGGAGAGAAACATCGATGTGTGGTTGCCTCTTGCATGACCCCGACTGGGGACCTGGCCTGCAACCCAGGCATGTGCCCTGATTGGGAATCGAACCTGCGACCCTTTGGTTCACAGGCCAGTACTCAACCCACTCACTGAGCCACACCAGCCAGGGCAGAATTTTTCTTAAAACATCTCACACAATCAGAAAGATACTAGATTTTAATAATCTTTAAAGGCCACTTTCAATTTAACTAGTAAATCTTGGTAGTTAATGAAATCACCACCGAAGTCCTCTGACTCTGGACTGTCTAAGGAATTCCGTAATGTATTTTGAACTAAGGCTGGCTGACTTCTGAAGCTGTTTAGGCACACAGATGCCTTTCTGCTCCGCTCCTTCTTGTGTGTGCTTTACCACGGCACGTTCTGCGGGGAGACGGGGACAGACCGAAGCCGGCGGTGCTGTCGTGTGTTCTGCATCCTCATGTCAGTCTTACCCATTAAGACCCACAAAACTTAAATACTCTGCAAAATAGCGCATCTTTTTTTACTGTCTATTTCTACTTAAACTAGAAGTTTAGTTTTTGTTGTCCCTTGTACTTAATCTTATTATGTCTGGATTGCAATAACAAAATTTTTCTGCTTCCTTTAGAAGCTTCAGCATCTTCAAGAAGAGAAGAACAAGGAGATTGCTATTCTTCGTAACACCATCCATGACTTAGAGCAGCGCCTCTCTGTTGGCAAAGATCCTCCCCTTAAACGTCGACGGTTTTAAGTGTAGCAGCAAATCCATTCGCTGATATTTAATCTCTTTAAAAGCAGTTGAAAAATTCACTTCTGTTGTCAGTATAACATACTGCCCAAGTAATAACAATGAAAGAGACAGCATTAAACTTTTTAAATTGAGTTTATTGAAATAAATCCATACTTTGGCCAACTGTGTACTGCATTCTTGCTTAATAGTATTAGCCATAACGAAGTTCAGGTGCATAGGCCTCAGTTTACCTATTCAACCATCATTGACTATGGAAATACTGTCTAAGCAACCAAAAGATAGACAACATTCTTTTATCTCTCTCTGTATCTCTCTCAAGACAGGCGTTCTCAAGTTTTAGCATGATAGCATGCCAAGTAAAGAAAACAATAGATAAAGCCTTCTTTCACAGACAGTAGTAAAAAATCAAGATTTGAGTCTTAGATATAAAAAAGTGTAAATGGATATTTAAAAGGTAGTCATAGCAAAATACTCATATGTTAAGTATTTCTGAATCTTAAAAGACAGAATTCACTTCTTCCTTTAAAAGGTGTAATCAGTTAAAACTGTAAGATTAAAAAGACAAAAGTAATAATGTTTTGACAAGTAAGAAAAAATGGAAAACATGTCTTTGTTGTTCTTCCTCCATTCTAATTGCCAAGCATCCCACAGAAACCCCTAGGTCATAGTTTACGTTCCTGTTCTCATTGAGGCAAGTAGAAAGCCGGAAAAAGAAAAAGAAAGACACATTAACCAAATACTGCAGTCACCTTCCAGTTGCCCCTTCTTTTAAGAAAAATGGTTTGGGTCAAAATTTTCTTTGGCGCAGATCTTAAAATTTGGAGGCCAGCATAATAGATTTCTTCATGTTTGCACAAATCCAATTCCTAATTTTTGGTCATTATTAAGTAGCTTATAAAAATGCCGAAAGTGAAACTGTGTCAGGATTGACTTGGGAGTGTGTCCTAATTAAGTGTTTAGTTTGAAGGTCATGCTCACATTTCTGCCTTATCTTTTCAGCTTCAGGTGGTGCTGGCTTCTGTGGGCTGGAGCCGCTGACTCCCCGGTCAGGCGACCCGAGGCAAACGTCACTGTCAAGACTCAATGACGCTCTCCTCCGCCCACAGCCCCTCTCAGCTACACAAAGAGGGGAGGCTTCCCTGACACTGTCAGGTGACTGCAGACCCTGTTTTTTCAAATATCAGATGTCGACAATGTCAGCATCAGCTGCTAGGGGCTGACGCCGAATCTTTGGGCAACTTTCAGAGTAACCGATTTATACATCTCCTTCCACAGGAGGTTACCACCTCCTTTCGTGAAGAAGAAGGTGGTAACGGTTCATTCTCTAGCTCATCTCAACTCGCTGGGTCCTCCTGTCTCTGGGGGCCCTTGAGCTTATGGTGGTGATGAAGGCCTGGAGAAGGGGGGTGCTCAGACTCGGGTGGTGCTTCCGGATGCTGACTCTCTGAGGGCTGGCCGTGCTTAACGTGCCAGTGTCGGTGCCCGAGCCCGTGCCAGTGCCGGTGCCCGTGCCGGTGGTGATGGCGATGGTGGGGGTGGGGCTGCGGCTCTGGGGCCTCGGTGGTTTTCCTCGTGGTGGCCAAGGACACATTTTTACAGACGTCTTCATCGTCTGGGATCTGGAACAGATTTATCAGATGCTCATTATCCACACGTGCGTAGGTTTAGCAGGCATGCATGAAAATGATTTGCAGAGCTAACGTATGAAATCCCAGCCAGTCAGGCTAGCACTGGCTTTGTTTTCCTAGCATAATGCTAATGAGAAAAGAATCTGGTGGTAACCTTAACATCTAGACATTTTATTGAAGTCTGATTCCCATCCACATCTAATTGTAAAGTGCTGTTGGTGCAAAGTGTGCACTTAAAGAACCTTCGAGCATCTTACAAATGAATGAACATTAACATTTTGAAAGTAGATAAAATAGAGTGTAATACGATTAAAGCTCAACAGTTCAGCTCAGCTTTAGACTGGTTAAATCAGTGACAGAATTCAGATTTTCCTTTTCGTATCAAGAGCATTTCCTCTGTTTTCAAGAACTCCGAGGAAGGACCTGAGAGGTACAGGAGGCTTAGAGCGGAAGTCAAACCCTGCGTTACTGTGACCGCGGTCCAGCCGGCCCAGGGCCACTCCCTGGAGTCGGTCGGCACGCACGGAGCCTTTGCGCCGTGTCCGGGGTGCTTCCCACCTACCAGGACATTCGAGGGCAAACTAATTTCTCACCGATGATCAAAAATGCCAATCAGCTGCTCCAAATCAGTAGCTTTTTGTACCTCAGCCCATGCCAGGAGACGTTCTGAGCTTCACCAAGCTATGTTCGCGGGTGCTGACTGTGGATGGTGGCAGCAGCTGAAAAGCGCAGGTCGCCGCCCGCCTTCCACTAAGCGTGATGCCCCGCCTCTGGGCCTGCGGCTTGCTCGGTCTGTCTGCACTGTTTGGTGCGCTCACAAGCCGCAGGCTCGCAGTGCACAGACACGGTACTGTCGTGTCAGACCTCGGCCCGAAGGTGTTTGTGAGCAAAGGTACAGAGTCCACTGGAGAGGCCAAAGGCTAAGTGGTTTGGTTCGGTGTTTTCAAGGTTTTGAATGGGGTAAGTTCCACTGGAATTCAGCATACGACTACTAAGTGGTCTTTTTTGTTGTTGTTATTTCTGAGTTACTTTTGAGAAGTTAATAGTAAGTATTTGATTAAAAACTTAAACACAATTTGATTAAGTGTTTAAAGTATACTGTGTAATGCTCTAAATGTTAACTGATTAAACAAATACAAATAACTATAGTAGTAGTAGATTAGGTTCCAGAAGCCAATTACCATATTTCACTGAGGTCACAATGTACTTTGTCACATGTTGATTTAGAGTCAGAGTGTGTCCCATGACTGATGGTGCTGTCCCCTGGTGTCCCCTGTGAACTGACAGCATTGTTAATAGTAAGTAGACTAATGTGTCATATGATTGATGGCACCTAGGGCACAATGAAAGACCCCAATTCGACTTGGCCTATCAGATGCATATGGCATTTATTCCTTTTTACAGATGATTTGTAAATTTTGAGCATGTTGTACGCATGTTTCTGCTTTGTTTCAGTGTAACTGGGTATATTTGTAACCATTAGGTATTTGCAAAAATGCCAAATACTGAAATAATCACAAAGTATGAAGAATCAACATAGCTGGCATTTATTAAGCACTTAGTGTAAGTTAGACATGGAGTTACTAATTTATTTGCATTATATCAGTCTCCGTATCTTGAAAGCAGAAAGCAACCCTTCTTAGATTATCATGTAGATTAACATGTGAAAAATGACATTAACTAAATAACCTGTTGTGCCCCTTAGCAACTGAATGAGTTAATTAAATGATTCATTAAAATTTGAGATGACTTTTTTAGAGCTGGGAAAAATCTGAAGGAACTACAGGTTACAAATAAAATTCAGAATTGTTTTTCAATCTGAGTTTAAATTTTGCCAATTTGCCCTATCAAGCAAACATTGTTTGGAAGTATTTTCCTTCTTAATATGAAGAGGGAAAGTCTAGTTAATAGACATTAAAATCCTTTCGGTGTCTTTTTTATAAACAATATTTAAGCAGAGTGCCTCTTATTTCGAGGAGAGACTCTTGTGTGAGAAATCTCAGTAAGGAGTAGAAGACTTCTCTCATTTTGAGGTCGATGCAGCAGCCCACCCGCAGAAGGGCAGCCGGCGTGAGGGCGGCGCCACATGGACAGCTGACAGTCTGTCCCCGGTACGTTAGGTGGCGGTCTGGGCCCCGACTGCACTGCAGGCAATGCTGTGGCCCAGCTTTGCTACCACCATGCTCTCGTGGGAACCACGCTCAGGACGCTGCACTAACGTCACTCACTGCACGTGGGCCGAGTTCTCTGAGCACGGACACCCCCACAACATCACTTGGTAGTAACTGAACTGTGTGATCTATGTTGCTGCTCATTTTCTCAAGTCCTTCCAGATAGAAGCGGCAATACGGATCTTGACAACATGTTCTAAAGTAGATGTTACATGACAGGAAGTGTGTGTAATCATAAAGATTACCGTTGTAGTTTTTTTTTTTTTTTTTTTTTGGTACACCAACAGAAACACCGATCAGCTCATTGGTTATGAAATACTAACTTATTTAGATAACTCTTAAAAGATTTCCTTTTTTCTCCCGGCAAAAATAATTGAGAAAAATACCGTGAAAGAGCAGTTCCCACATTTCTCCTCGCAGTAAGCGAACTTAATGGCCTGTTCCACGTACGAGAAAACTAGGATGGAGTAAGGCAGGCCAAGGTGGTACACGAGGCGGCCACATCTGGAAAAAAGGGCAAACACGAGGTCATCACAATGTTCTCCGTATCGGAAGCCTCCTCGAGCGTGGCTCGGAATAGCACTGCGCAGGGTCAGTGGCCTCTGGCTACGACACGGACACGCCGTCAGTAAATGTTCTTCTGCGGGGTCTGGACAAGCCGCCCGGCCCTGCGCCCGCGTCAGGGCAGAGCAGGACTGCAGTGAGTCTAACACCAGCGCTTAGGGACGTTATGGGGATGGCACCACACATGACATCAAAACTCTGGAGAGTACAGTCACTGTGACTTGGTCGAATACAACTTTGTAAGGGACTTAAAAATTCTACCGATGCTCCCACCACTGGCACCGGAAACTACACTCTGCAAATCGCAGGAGCTTTTCCTAACTGCTGCGGCAGCTGGAAGTCCACACAGCAAGGGACTTAACCAAAAAATCCTCAAGTCTTGGCCAGTAGCCCATCTACTTAAAAGTATATCCGATGCAACAGAAGTTCAGCACAATGAAAGAAATATTAGAACACCGGCACTCTCAGAAAAACGCCTTGCCCGTGTTTTACCCAGTGTATGTGGTTCCATGTGACTATCAAAGGGTTACACTTTGCTGCTGTTTAAATTAGAACTCCGCGGTCCTAAAAAAATGACATGGATATTAAAAATATTTACAGTAAGACCACGGAAGGCTTACACCTAGGTCGAGTCTAAAGAGTTGAAGGAAAACAGCACCCAGGAGGACTGTTGGTATATCAGATAACGGATGCTTTGAGGTTCCCCAAATACAAAGGTTTTATTTCTCATGGAGTCAAAATAGCCATTGTACTGGTTATACCTAAATAATTAAGGCACCTTATAGTTCAGGAATTCAGGTATACAGCCTTAAATTATTCATTAGATTAGAAATAAGCAAGTGGCCTGGATAATGTGGTTATTCACCAGCAAATTCTTAGATTAGAATTTGATATATTATAAAGATCCTTGTTTTCATTTAACCAGAACACCAGTTTATGGGGGAAAGTATGGTCAATCTCCTTTATTTCCTTACTGGAATGGCACATTCTTTTATGTAAAAGAAACTCATTTCCAAAATATTAAAACCAAACATTTTAATGGGATCACTTTGAAACAGCATTTGGTAATAAAATCAAAGCAGGTGTCTTATCTGAAATCACTTGCTATTAAGTTAAACACAAAGCAGGTATATTTTCATTTCTGGCGGGGTGCGTGTGTGTGTACACACCTGTCATATATGAGGAAGTCATCTTTGCTCCCATTTAAGAGAGTCCAGACATCGGTTTGGTTTTCTTCTTGCTGATAAACCGGAATATGCTCTGAAACCTTCTCTTTAAGCTGCACGTATTTGGATCGAGAAGGGAGTCCTTGGTGATTCACAACAACATAGGAAATGTTGGCAAAGCCCTCTTTCTCCAGTTTTACTCGCAGGTCGTCCAGCCTAAAACGTGTGGGGAAAAGACAACAACATGAATAATTTGTATTTAATTTTATTAGTGATGCCTCCTTTTCTCCTCTTTGTTTTCTACATGAACCTCTCTACTTGTACATACTCACACCCCTTCTTTCTGTTCTCGTACAGGCCTGAAGCTTTTATTGTTTCATTATCTATCAAGCCCTTGCGCTCGGTGAAAACCTTACGCTAAATGCCTGCACAGACATGAACCCGTTTAGTGCTCTAATTAATCATACGACATTCGTCTAAATCCATCTCCCGGTTACAGAGAATTCTACCCAGTAAATAGCTGGCAAATAACCCAACAAATATTTTTTCACATACTAGTTACATGCATTTAACAAATGTATATGAATTAAATATAAATATATATATTTGTTAAGTAACCCAAGGCCTCTGCGGCAAGTCTAGCGTTCTTCCTGCCCTGGCACAGCACTCGGCTTCGTGTGCTATATTGAAACAGCTAGTGTACTCACAGGGGTACATTTTAGAACACTTTCATTACACAAGTAATACACGTTTAGTAGGACATTATGAAACATAGGTCCATGAAGAGAAGAAAAAATTTTCATTGTCCCAAGAAAACTACTGTAAACATTTTGGCGTGTATCTTCCTAGTCTTTTTTCTTCTAAGATGTTCTATCCGAAGATGTATAGTTTTTCCGAAACTGTGATTCCCTAAATACATCTTTTCTATTTGTTTTTAATTTTATGTACACATGCGCTTAACAGCATTTCCCCGAAGGAACCCCAGACCACAGAAAGGCTGTCGTACCTGGATGCCTGCGTAATGCAGAAGGATCAGCTGGCCTGGAGAAGGGCGACCACGGTGACCGAGCCGTGGGAGTTCAGCATCGGGTCTTGATCCCCGATGCTCCAGGCCGGAGGCTCCTTGCAGAAGGAGCCCCGCCCCTGGCTCTCCGCTCCCGCCCAGGGCAGGAGGCAGAGAGCCAGGGCAAGCCCCAGGCCGCTCCACATGGCTGGGGTTGTCCTGTAGGAGAGGAAAGCTTTCCGTCACCCTCATCGATGGTGCCACAGCCGTACCTAGGGATGTCTATAAACCCAGCAGGTGTAATTCTCCTCCCTATCCTGTCTCCATATTGTTGGACCCAGGACATTGGCCCTCCACACACCCAATATCCATTTAAAGGTGGAAAGGGCAGCCAGAGGCAGAGCAGCTCTGCTAACTCCAAAACATGACCTCTTCTCCACTGTAATGCACTTATTTTAGAGAGAAGGGAAGGGAGCAAGAAAGAGAGGAGGGAAACACCAGTGTGTGGTTGCTCCTCACGCACCCCCTACTGGGGACCTGGCTCACAACCCAGGCATGTGCCCTGACTGGGAATCAAGCTGGCGACCCTTTGGTTGGCAGTCTGGTGCTCAGCCCACTGAGCCACACCAGCCAGGGCCATGTCAGTAGGTTTTCTGTAGACAGGTCACCTGTAATAACTATAGCAGTCCGAGGCTTTGTCTGTCTGTCTGTCTGTCTGTCTATGTCCTAGCCCAGCAGAGAAAGCAGTACAATCATTCAGTCTGTTTTATCTCTTACTGAAGTGGCTATGTTTAGCCCTAATTTCTAGAATGTACGTTCAGTGATTTTAGAACCGTCAGCATAAATTCAGGACTTGGTACGCCCAGTTTGCCATAGAGTGTAATGTTCCAAACAGCTACATAGTGAAAAGGCTATTTCACTCCTTTCCCTCACTTCTTTCTTCCATAGAAAAATAACTCAAGCCATAGCAGAGGGCAGTGAATTAGCGTGTGCACTTTCAGATTTTCCTCTGTCGTTGTAACCAGCCCGCGGTTAACTGTGTTTAAGGTCATCTTATTTTTACGTCATAGACTTTTGAGTATAATGACAGCTGTCAGCTACATAAACGTCATGAAGATAAACAGCAGGTCCAGCGACACTCAGAAAGTACAGATTTCACTAAGCTCACCACTTTTCAATCACAAAACCCAGGTTTGCTGGCCACATCCAGACCTACAGTGTTTAAAATTCCCCACTTAAAAACAGGCTACACAGAACCTTTCTTCAGCCTCTTCCCTTGACCTTCGAGGTGCTTCCTCGTCCACCTAAAAGCTCCCCCTCTCCCCTTAAACTGCAAAACTCTGCACTTAATCCCAGCACACCCGATTTTGACAAGGGCTGTGTCTCTTTCAGGGGTGACCGTTTCTGCACCGTGGACCAAACCTGCTCTCCCTTCTTATTTTTTCTGACACTGCTCACAATAGCCCTGGGCATTTCTGCATCTCTGCAGATGGCCCTAGTTCGTCTCGGCTCTCAAATCCACGGGCCGTCTTTGCCCTTGACTTCTCTCTGCGTTTCAACGGGAAGTCAGTAGGCTTGACCCTTCGTTACTGCCATGTCACATCACACCTTTCTGCAGAGTCCAAGTGTCCGATTTCCCCAGCCGCCCCTGCTCCCACCTGCCAGCTCAGCTGTGTGGAGGAAGGCAGGGCAGAAATCAGCCAGACTGTGGATCTGCTCTCTGCACAACTGCACCCGCCACGCCCGGTTTTACAGGACGTTTGTTCTCTTTCTTCTGCATCAGTTTTATTTCCTTCACCTACCTCTTCTTTTACGATCCCTTCTCCAAGGAAAGAAACTCTTGAACAGACTCAACATCATTTACCGAACTCTGAGAGAGTCAAGAGCTGGGAAACACAAAATTCCTACTCACGTCGTGGGGGCCCCTTCAGACGAGGAGGCTGTCTCTCGGCTCAGCAACTGGACTCCTCTGCAAAGAGCGGCCAGGACCACGGGTATTTATAGCCCTGTTGTTTACCTCCCCGCGCAGCTGCGGTCCAGAGTCCGGTGCTTCCTGGCCTGTGACCCTGTAAGCAGGGCAAACCCCTGAGCTGATCGGGAGGATCCACTCAAAAGAAAGTAGCACGGGCTGCTCGGAACAAGGCTGGGGGGTAGGGGAGGTAGTTTTTGGCAGTTGCTGCTTGTCCTTGTCAGTCACCCCAGCCCCTAGGATTGAATGGTACAGTCGGGGGCGGGAGGAAGGGCTAAGGGGAGAGAGGACTTCCAAGGCATGTGTTTTTCCAAACTAGAACAGGGAGAAACATTTGCTGAGCCAGCAAATCAAGCTGCTGCTTTAAGAAGAAGAAGAACTTTTTTTTTCCCTTGTGCTTTGTAGCGGCCAGGCCTCACCCCAGCTGTACTGTGTGCACTTTGTTAGAAAAACCACCCGCTGAGTCAAACCCTCCCAGCCTCCTGCGACTGTTTGGCTGTGCTTCAAACCCCTGCTCTTTTCTTTTTCATTTAAGGAGAAGAGCAAGGAACTAGGCCTCCCACCTGAGGGAAACCAAGCCCCATCTCATTTTCACAAAAGTCCTACTCCCTGGAAGACCTGGGCAGCCCCCAGAATTTTTTTATCTCATGTAACATCTTTACAAATATAATTATTTTACAAATAAAAGGTAATCGTGACAATAGCTGGACATGGAAATGGGGATGGACATTTCAGAACATGCAGAGACAATGGAAAATCCCCCCCTCTCTTTCAGAGAGGGGTGAATTCTTCCCACCGGCCTGCGAGGGAGCAGCCCGCAGTGGGTAAGGCAAGAAGAGCAGTGACAAGCGGGGGCGCCCCTGGGTGGCGGTGCCGTTCAAGTCAGCCCTGCTTCTCACCGCCTTCGTTTTCACCAACAGCCGCCCCCCGGGGATGGCGGTGCGTTGGGAAGGGTTGCACGAGGTGCAGGGAGTGAAAAAGAGGCTCAGGTATTATCACCCCTGCAAAGAAACTTCCCATCGAAGTAGCAGCTTGATATCTGGGAGGCAGCTGCTTTACTCACACGAAGCAGGAACTCCGTGGGTCCCGAATCCCGTGGAGAACCCAGTTAAATGCTTCCTTTCTCCCCAGAAAAAAAATGCACATATACACATACTTGCTTTTCAAAAGAATCTTGTGCAACATTTTTGTAAAAAGCACATTCTGCCCCCTGTGGTTCATTTTCTGGACAAATTGAAATAGTTACGTTACATCTGTCTGCTGCAGGAAAGGAGTCGTTTCACCATCACTCCTCCCTTTACGTGGGGCTTGGCCGCGGCCTCCTACCCAGAGGGTTCTCTCCGGGCGCAGCGGGGAGGTGTGTCTAAGACCCCCAGGTGGCAGGAGGGGAAGATGGGAGCTTGTGGTGTTCAAAGGGAATCCGTTCTGAACAGCCTCTCCTGGGCGGGGCCCCCAGGGAGCCGCCAGCATTTCTAAGACAGCACGATTCTCAGGCAAACCTTTACTGGGTGTTCAATCAAATGACATAACATCAAAGAAAATCAAATAAACATTTGTTAGGTGTTAATGCTAGGCATAATGCTAAACTCCCTTGTTTTCAAGGATCTCAAAATCTAATGGGGTAGACCAAACAAGGAAACAGAAATACATGCTGCAAAGTGAAAGGGGGAATCGTCTCCGAGACCCTTGGAGCCTTGGCAATGAACACAGGAGTGTTCTGTCCAGCCCAGAGTCAGGACCAGCAGGGCAGGTCCGCACACTCTCCTGCAAGTTCACGGGCTCTTTATCTCAGGCTTTACCCTCTAGCTTCAGAGTTCCTGCAAACCTGACCACAGCACTGTCCAGAGAGCTGTCCTGTTTCCATTTTTATGAGTGATCAAAATCCCCCGACAGGTTGCCATAGCCACGGGCACGCAATCCAACCTGACTGCTGACACTGAATGTTATCTTAATGATCCCATCTTTTACAGCTTCCAACCCTGGAGCCAAGAATCTCTTTCTTCACAGTTTCGTTCTTCCACATCCCTCTCATTTGTCCCCAGGATGTTTGTGCTTGTACTGAATCCATGTTTTTAATAAGCGTGCATACCTTTTCATGGGTCTCAGGTGGTTTCCTTGGAGAATAGGCCCCTATAACTCTGAGTCCATGGAGAACTTAAAAGAAAGAAGGGCTATGAACTGTGATTTGACCAACCAGTTTATTCGCTGCAGCAGGGCATGGCATGGCATCAGTCCGTGGGCACTTCTAACACCGACAGCTCAAATATTAGAAGGTGAAAGAGAGTGTCGCTGCCCCATGAAGCGCCCTGTGAAATACTGAGCCCTTCGCTTGATTGCCAGGTGGCGTTTCACAGGCAAAGGGAAATGAAGACTTTCCCGCTCCCTTGGACCTACCTTTGGACCTGAGTTATACGTACAAGAAGGTGCTCTAGGCCTCACCCTCAGCATTGTACCAAGTGTAATATTTGGGGGCGCCCATGCTGAAAGATATACAAGAGGTGCCTACGGAAAACAAGACCTTTTCCGAGTGAACAAGATAAGTGACAACAATGGCCAGAGGAAGGCTCGGGAACAGCAGCTTGGATCAGATAAGGACTCGTTGAATCCTTTGAGATTCACGAGAAACTGAAATATGCTTTGAAGGGCGCTTTCCTCCAGGCCCGCCAGCTCGCAGATCTGAGAACTGTTTGGTAGATCAAACACACGCCCAGTTCAGGAGGGAGCAACAGGCCGGGCCGGGTTTCACGTGGGGCTGAGCACACTGGAGAGGAACAAACATGAGAAGAACGTTTGCTCCAAATAGGACGTTGCTAATTTTATTTGAAAGGAAACATGTCCACAGGTAGTGCCTCCGGCTCCTCGTGGGACACGGTGTTGACATCAACATGCAAGAAGCGTGTGGGGACATCAGCTGACCCCCAAACGACATTAATCCCCTGAGTTGCTGAAACGCCCACATTCAGAGAGTATGTTTGTGCTCTGACCTGTAGCGAAACCTGGTGGTGCACCTGTAAGTGCTTTAATCATTTGCTACTGGGTTGAAGAATGTCGACAGTTTTTTAAAACAGGCATTAGTTTTTTTAAACAATGACATTAATATTAATTATTTTTAAAATGTTCTTTTGAAAAACTAAAGCATAAAATACTTCAAGTAATTTTTAAGTATTTTAATTAACATTGCATTGTTCACAGTATGATATTTTAAGAACTGTATACCCTTAAAAATTGATGTTCTACTAATTTATTTTTAACTTGTCTTTAAAAATATCAGTACCAAGTGGATAAAACAAGGATGGGACATTTACACAACGGAGTACTACTCAGCCGTAAGAAAAAGAAGAAAACTTTACCCTTTGCAACAGCATGAATGGACCTGGAGAACATTATGCTGAGTGAAATAAACCAGTCAGAGAAAGACAAACACTCTATGATCTCACTCATGTGGAATCTAATAAACAAACTGAAGTAACAAGCAACATAGAGATAGACTCACAGGTGGAGAGCAGGATGACAGCTACAGGTGGGGGAGGGTAGTGGGTGGAGGGATGAGCAAAAAGGACAAAGGACTCGTGGGCATGGACAGCAGGGTGGTGACTGTGTGGGGGAGGGGGAAGAGGGGTACAAGGGGACTAAGTGGTACTGGGGAAAAAATACAATAAAAAAAGAAAAAATATCAGTACCAGAGTTTCTCTTTGGTTTTTTAGCCTCGAAGAAGCACCTTCGAGTGTATTGGAGCCGTGTCCACCTGACACTTTGTGGCTGCATTTGGACTCAAACTCACACAGCTGTGTGCCCCAGGGCGGCTAAGGGGGCTGGTGTAGCCACGTGCAGCCACGCTGGACGGAGAGAATGCGGGAGAGCCGTGTCCTGACTTGCACCATCTGCCCTGCACTGCAGGTAAGCTGGGTCCCCAGTCTTCGTGGAGGAAAAAGCAAATTATGTTGTAGCTAACCAGCACTCAAACTAAATTAAATGTGTGGCTTTGACCAAGGACTCCTTATGTGGACTTAAGAAAACTTTTAGATGACTTTTAGAAAACTGCTTTCCTAGAAAGAATATTTCTGGCAGACTTTATGCTGTTGTTGCAATTGGTATTTGGAGTGGATTTTATGGAATTTCTCCCTAAATGTCTCATCTAGTTTCCCAACATCTGGAGTGAAATGCATTTATTTCATTCTTGTGCCTATTCCTGCATTTTCTAATGAAGGACCCTTGCTGTTCTATTTTTCACGTACTGTACGAGTTAATTTGGGTAGCCCGGCAGGCAGTTCACGGTTCCTTCCTAAAGGCAGAGTGGGCCGGATTGTCTCTGGCTCCAAGTTCGGGAGACACGAAAGTCAGAGGACCCTATCAAGCTAAAATCTGAGTCACAAGCTGCCTTTGTAAAAGTCCAAATAAGTCAACAAACTAAGGGGAGCCAGTTTGTTGGGTGGGGCCCAGAAAACCTGGTATGGAGCTGGGAAGGAAGTTCCCCCCCCCCTCCCCCCGCCCAGGGACACCGTCTCTGTTCCTTCTCTCTCTGCCTGTCCAGCATGGATGGGCCAGTTACTGTCCACAGGCCTGCCCAGGTCTCCGACCAGGCCTGGCCTCCGGGTCATTTTTTTGATCCCAAACTGCCTGACCTCTCTTGGTTCCTTCCTCTGCAGTTCCATACCAGGTTTTCTGGTATGTTTTCAGGAAGGAACTGGTAACCACTCCTTAACTAGGGGCAAGGAGCTGGGCGCTGCCGGCAGGTAGAAACAAGGTGCTGGGCTGGATAAAAGTAGGTGGAGGCCAGATTGGGCTCCAGGGCCTTGTGTTTGCCGCCTGTGTGTTTGTTAGTTACACCCACTCTCAAGACGTCCAGGGGTTCTAAGTCACAACAATGGAGATTCACTGGGCAGCTTCATACAAAGGATTGATTCTTAATGAGTCTTTGCAGGAATATGCAAATGAATGATACTTTATTTCACGCGACTTACGAAATGAGAAGTCCAAATTCTGGAGTTATATAACTCCACTGAGATCCCTGTGAAATTTCTTACAGTCCGAAGAGTGGTCCAAACCTAATAAAGCAAATCATGTCCTTGAAAGTATTTTTTTTATTTTTTTATTTTTTT